CTTTTTTTTCTTTTTCTTTTTTTTCATAAATCCATTTTCCATATTGTTGAAAACATGGATCACAATCTAATATATTATTAACAAGTTTTTCCTCATTCCGTTCAATTCACGAAGGTTGCTCAAAGGTTGGGTGGGGGTGGGAGGGGGGTTGGGTGTGGGGTAAGTGGTGTCGGAGATCTGCTCTACATTTTGGCAATTGTTGAGTTTTATTACAAAAGGATTTTGTGTTATTAATAGTGAAAATATTTATTTATAAATAGTTATATATTCTGCAGGGCCAACCTTTGGGCAGAGCAAACGCGGCGCCCTCACAGAACCCCAAATCTTGACGGGCACTAAAATTAGTTTATAAGCATATGTATATGGCAGTAGCAGTGGGAAAGAACAAACCAGGAGGACAGCCTGAGGAAGACGAAGAAGAAAAACTGCTTTTTAACCGTTGACTAAACTCTAGTATTTGACAAGGCTTGAGTTTCCAGGAGTGAAAAAGTAAAGATGAAATTTAGAAGGGAATTCAGTAGAGCGGTTGTCAAGGTCGACAGTTCAGTACTTCACTGGTGATGAAGGAGATCTACAGTAATTTGGTGGAAAAAAATAGTTATTGGGCCCTTTAAAAAATTTAAAAAAATAGTTAATGGGTTATGATATCTAGGAAAGAATAGGGTATCTGTGAGTTAAAAAGTGCCACGCGTGGCGAACGAGTGCAGCAATTTCTATAGGGTAGTGCTAACTTTTTCTCTCTTTTTTTTTCTTTTTTTTTTTTTTTAAACAAGTAAAGATCGTACTAGTTGGACTACAATCCATCAGAACCAATATTTCCAAAGAAGAACAAGAATAAAAATCATCACCAGAAAGAAAGCAAAGAGTACTAGTTGATCTTAATACATGAACAGTATCAAGAAAACCAACAAGAGAGTTGTTCTGATGCAACCCATGATAAAATCATTTAAAAATATATATAAGGTAGTGCTATTTACATACCAATTTTTATTTCTCACACAATTTTTTAATTTTCAGTTATTGAATCAAATGAATTAAGATGATCAATTACTAAAAATTAATAAGGGTGTGTGAGTGGAAAAAATCAGTGTGTAAATAACACTTTCTTGTCTATAGCTTGGTCAGTTTTGGCTCACTTCGGTTTCAATTTTTAGAAGCTATGTTCTAGAAAACTTGTAAACCGTCAGGTGTGCTCAGTGGTGAAGCCAGAAATCATCAGGGGGAGGTGCAAAACTTAAAAAGGTAAAATATCTTAAAATGTAGACAACCAAATCGGAGTAGACAATGTTAACGTTGTTCATAATTTATCAATACAAACCAAGGTTTTAAAACATGCTAGACACTAGCCGAGCGGCGGGCTAGAACCTAGTCTAGGCTTAAGCGGATTTACGTAAATTTATTATATATCATATAAATTAGTACATATTGCACTTAATAAATGTACTACATTCTATAAATACACATTGAACGATACTTATGTTATTTAAAAAAAAAAAAAAAAAGGATAACAATATGTTTACACGTTATTTGGGAGGTTTTTTTTATTAACTAACAATATTATTTATCTTAAGGGGGAATTAGCTAAACTTCTTATTGGGCTAGCCATAATAAAATGGTTCAGATTCGCTTTTGACGATAATCGAATCTAACACCTGCTATTTGGGAGTTTTAGGTAAATATCTTTATATGGAATACAATTGAGAAAGAGGAAGATGGTGGAATAGAGAAAATGATGAGGAAATTAAAATGTTAAAAAAAAAAAAAAGATAATACAAACAAAAAGTCAGTACAATAGAAGATGGTGGAGTTAAAACCGAAATGTGGCGGGCCCAAACTAAAAAGGAAAAGAGGGGATACGAGTGATGACTGGTCCCCATTTAAATAATTTATTTTTTCTTTAACTCAATAACAGAAGGACGTCGTCATACTAAAGGAAGGATTTTTTTAATTTTCAAGCAGGACCAAAACGCCTTTGTTTTCTGGCCTGGTTTTTCTAAAAAGAATTACAACCCTACGTGCAGCAGCAGGGAAAATCCAGAAACATACAACATTTCATCATTTCCGGGGGGACCAGAGGGGCGAAACCATCACTCCAATACTAGATTTTCGGCGAAGGGAGGGGCGGACGTCCCTCCTTGCGCCTCTGTAGCTTCGCCCTTGGGTGTGCTATAACCTGAATTTCAACATATTAGTTTTAAAACCGTCCCAATTTGTCCGGCATGGGCAGGTTGGACGGGTTGAACGATTTGTTTGAAAAAAAAAATACCAAACATTAACTGTGTAGTTGTTAAGAGTTCAATCATGGGGACCATTTTTTCATATGTATGAATAAAAAACAAATGATCTTTCTTGTGTAGACTTATACAACGGCGTTATTATTGGCCTTGCCCCGAGCCTTAAAATATATGGACCGGCCATGATATTTTGTTAAGTTTTTTATGTGAGATTGCCCAAGTTGAAATGGAACACTAAGTGACATTGGCAAGTGTTGAGTTTTATTAGAAACGGTTTTGTGTTATTAATAGTGAAATCATTTATTTGTAAATAATAATATATTATGTTAAGTTTTCGATGTGAGATTACATTCTTCGACAGTAAATTAGTAACGAATATATGATATATGCATGTTATAGTATTACTTCAAATGATCATAATGTTTGAAAACGAACACATTAAACAAGCTAGGTTACTAATTTTGGGAAACCTTACTCTCTATATAGTGAAGAAAAGTATTAGAGGGTTTAGGATCAATGGTTTTGTTTTGGGAAACCTTACTATATATAGTGAAGAAAATAGATTTATTTATTTATTTTGAACAAACAATATTATCCACACTGAGGGGGAGGGGATAGGTTGAGCCTCATAATAAGCTAGCAATAATATGGTTTAAATTCGCATTTGGCAAGAATCGAATCTAAAACCTCTCCCTTACAAGTGAAAATGAATACCATTAGACCGTAATACTAAGTGACAGTGAAGAAGATAGATTTAAATAATGGCAAAAATTAGCATAATTAGTCGTAGTCTTAATTGAAATTTTATTTTAAAAGATTTTAAACAGTGATCAATTGATTTTGTGGATTTGGACAGATTAATTTCAGTGTATTCTAGGCCTTAGCAAATCTAGACTCTCTTTAAGATTATGAGGAAATTCACTCAAATCCCACATCGAATCTATATCATTACTCCATCAAACTCCATTAAGGAAATTTAAAATCTTAATCTAATTGACCCATTTAATGCCACTTAGTACTACGGTCTAATGGTATTTCTCTTCACTTGTAAGTAAGAGGTCTTAGGCTCGATTCTCGTCAAAGACGAATTTGAACCACGTTATTACTAGCTCATTGTAAGGTTAAGCTTATCCCATCCTCCTTAGTGTAGATAATATATATTGTTTGTAAAAAAAAAAAATACGGCAATTGATATAGCACTATTTTGGACGTAATTAATTTATAATGATAATTTGTTGTCATATACCTAAGTGAAATAGGATTATTGCTATCAGATTGTCACACTATTAAGTGGTGTTATCAATTTATTAAAATTATAAATAAGTGTATGTATACATTTATTAAAGTTATAATATGTGTATATATAAAATTATGAATGTTATAATATGTAAATAATAACATTGTGTATTAGTGTGATTGTTACACCCAAAAATCTTCCACCAAAACAACCATAAGAGTCTTTGACGAAGTATCCAATTCGTTCTTCTTATCAAGGTTTGGTAGGAGGAGGCTTCAATGCATAAAATTAGATGATAAAGAAACAAGCACAAGGTGTTGAAAGAATTAAACCTAGCCTTCACACACTTACAAAGAAGAAATTGTAGTGATTGCCATATTGTTGAGGCCATGAAGGGCAGATGGTTGCCGTTTTGCTGAAAGCACAATGAAGTGAAAGGAAGATTTGGCTGCTATCTAAAGACGACTAAGACCAATAGTCTTGTTGAAATATGCCGTTTTGTTGAAAGCACAATGAAGTGAAAGGAAGATTTCGCTGCTATCTAAAGACGACTAAAACCAATAGTCTTGTGGAAGGGTAATGCTAGGAAGATCAAATTTTTAAATCAAATTTTGTAAATCAAATGATGTGGATATTGATGATTAGATTATTACTTAAGTTGATGGTCATTATATATTGTCTAAGTTGTCCTCATTTCAAGTCTTCCACAAGGTCTTGACTAAAGAGAAAGAAGTGTCTTTAACATGCTCTGCCAAAGGAGCTACATATCTTCGTATGGTTCATGCCACATTGCTTATATGCATATAGTATATTTACGAGGAGACCAACTTATATGAAACAAGTTCATTGTGTATTTGGTATTTGCTTCTTAGGATTTTCTTGTAGATTAAGGTTTTGGATTCCTTCCTCTTAGGATTAGGTTTAGGGTTAGTTTCTTTATAAATCTAATGTTTTGTAACTCATTTATCTACAAGTCTAGCGAGATATAGTCTCCTTGGGTATGTAGCCTTCTTGGCAATTCTATTCTGTTTCTTTGTTTTAAGTTAGTTAAGTAATATATTCGTTATTTGGTAGTCCATTTGTTCACCTGTTATGTATCCTAATTTTCAACTTATATAGGGTCAAAGGACTAAGGTTGGTTTTTAATCTTACAGTAGGAATTAGTAAGTTCAAATTATCCAAGAATTAAGATCTAGTTTCCCAATTATAAATTTATAATCTTCTGCATGTTACTTAAAATGCTCATAATGTTGGGAAACCTAAACATTGAACAAGGTTACTTTTGAAATATGCCCAAGCTACATGCATCATGCATATACAAGTACTTAAGTAACAAAATGAAATGACAATAATCAATTTTACAACAAATGATAGCGATGTGATAGTTAGATTATCGATCTTCTTTTACATAGGACTCAAATGCGAATGATTTACTGGATGAAAAGGAAAAGTATATTCTGTTTCGTTTTAAGAAGTAACGATATTTATGGTAAACAATAACAAAGAGTTACAATCGTCAAGAAGAAACCTGAATAAAACCAGGACACAATCATAGCATGTCATATTGCGGATAATTAATTGAGCCACAAGACTGATCAAGATTCATATGTATAGGCCACAGAAAAGCTAAGAAAGCAAATAACACGCACACCGGTTAATAATGGAAGACATAAACATTATACTCCACAACAGCATCTCCAGTTTTGATGTCAAACTGGTGAGTGCTAGCATGAGCATAGCCCCGAGCAAATCGGAAAAGCCCGCTTCCGCCTACCATCGGCGTCTCCCTCACGGCTGAGGACACGGTGTTGCGCCCCAACGCACTAAGAGTGCTACCATTATATACTTCCCTTCAACAAAAACAAAATTCAAGGCCATCAAAAGCCCCAACTCACTTTGTGAAGCTGAAGCATAAATACCTTGGGCTTTTCCGACTAGCTTAGAGCTCGATTCAGGGCCGATAGTCAATGGATCGTCCGTCATGAACACAGTGCCAAAGCCAGTCATGGAAGTGTTTGTCATGGGTGCGTCAGCCACTTTAACTGCCGTGGGGGTCGGCCACTGACTATGTCATGGAAGTAGAAGTGAATATGGCTTAATTTCTCTCTCTTTAAACCATGTTTTGATGAAGATAACGGTCTTATAAAACGGTGAGTTTCTGATGCGACAAGGGTTGAGAGGACGAAGAAGGAAATGGTTATGAGAATGGTGCAGGTAAAACTGAGGGTGAGTTTCTGATGCGACAAGGGTTGAGAGGACGAAGAAGGAAATGGTTATGAGAATGGTACAGGTAAAACTGAGGTTTTGGAGGGTCTTGATCATTGTAGAGAACCGAGGATTATGTAGAGCGTTTTGAAGGAGAGAAAGTATATACAAAAGAGTTTTAAGACCAGGAATTTAGTTTTGGGCAACCTTAATTTATAGTGACGAAAATGGATTTAATAAATAATTGTAAAACTTGGCATAACAAGTTGTGACGCTAAAATTTCGTTGTGTAAAATCATGAAACCGTCGTGAATAAATTTTAGCAACGATCATGCGACCCTTGTGATCGCTTCGCAATAAAACTGTGTCGTAAAAGTCTTCCCAGCTTATTGCGACACATTACTAGGGATGCATAGTTCCAAACGACAACCAACTTGAAAGCATATACAAAACAAAAATTGAAAATAAGAAAAATCTTTCCATGTAAATATATTAAAAAACAATGGATTCAACAATTAAAAAAATCTATCAAAAAATTACAATAATAATTGTCTTTCAGATTTGAGAGGAACCCTAGAAATCACTTTGAATAAGAAAAGAGAGAAGATGGAGATGGTTGCAGTAGCTTACAAGATTCCGATTGTGCTCCAGAATCTCTGATTGAGCTCAAGAATCTTGGATTTGTGCATTGATGATTTAATGTTTCTATTAAAGGAAAAGTCTGAGTTGGATGATATTAAAAGTTAGGGTTTTTATCACAAATGATCCTTGAAATTGACCCTCACCATCAAGATGGTCCTTGAAATTGAAAATCAATCAATGTAATCCTTGAAAATAGGTGTCACAAATCAATGTAATCCTTCCGTCACAATTCTATTAAAAATTTCATTAAGTGCTGATGTGGCACATAAATGGGCCCCACTAGATTTACGGGATTTTATCACAAATGGTCCCTAAAATTGACCCACACCATCAAGATGGTCCCTAAAATTGAAAATCGATGAATGTAGTCCTTGAAAATAGGTGTCGCAAATCAATATGATCATTCCACTACAATTCTGTAAGAAAAATTTGTTATGTGCTAATGTAGGTTTATAATTAATTAAAACAGTTGTCATATACCTTTTTATAAAATGAAATTTTTTCTTTTATAGTAGGGCCTACTCCGAAGAGAGATCCCTTCCATAAATTCTCAAAGGCACAAGGCTTAACCAAGACCTAAGAGGGGGTTTGGAAATAGTTTTCAACCAAAAATATGTGCACCTCGGTTATAACGTCATTATCACAAGGTAGACCTCGCCATTCTTTGAGTCACCAAGCCACCAGGGAAGCGCCGAACAAGCTCTCCAAGATTAAGGTTGTGAGGATGTTGATCACCTTAATGTTAATGGTGATGACTCAGAAGCCATTGCCAATTGGCCAAGCCGTCACCAAAGATGATCTCAATCCAGGTTCAATTCGGTGAAGTTGAAGTGTGTAATGATAGGTGTGTTGAGATTTTTTTTTTTTTTTAGAGAATAGATTTTTTTTTTTTAGAGAATAGACAGTGAGGAGGTAGAGGAATGTGGACTGGGATTGGAGGTGATTGCATGACTGGATTTTTGGGTTGACAACTTTTTATTAACTATTAAATTATTAAACCTATTTGTAATATTTTTTTTTTTTTAAATTTAGTTAGATTTATATGACCCATTTGTGTGTTACACCAATACATAACAGAATTTTTGATAAAATTGTGATAGAAAAACTACATTGATCTAGGACACTTACTTGTGGGACTACATTATCGATTTTCAATTTCATGAACCATTTTGATGTCATGAATCAATTTTAGGGACCATTTTGATGTCCAAGTTAATTTCAAGGACCATTTGTGAAGGAAAAAAAAAGAAGACTTATGAGACCCATTTATGTACCACATCAGTACTTAACAAAAATTTTCACAGAATTGTGACAGAATGACCACATTGATTTGCGACACCTATTTTCAGAGACTACATTGATTGATTTTCAATCCTTATATATCATAGTTAGCTATCAATTGCTTACATAGCAAGTCATTAGTAACTAACCCTAACTAACTCGGCTAACAACTTGTCAAACAAACTTAACCTATCTTTGACAAGTGGCACAACCATATCCATTCGGTTACTATCCTCAACAATATTAATTTTTTATGACAAAATCAAATAATCAATGAAGAAAAATGTGAAGGAGTTGTTTTTCATTATTTTTATTTTCTAGGATAATCAACTCTTAGATATAGATAGCCCAAATCATTAGAAAGAACTGCATTAATCATTCTAATTTAATCCCAAATCATTAGAAAAGCTGCATTAATTATTCTAATTTGTCTGCAGTATATAGATAGCCTTCATTGTTTTCGCAACATACTAAATTTAGGCTTTTAGCTTCTGCTTCTTCTTATAATGCAAGTATGCAACTATTTTATTTACTTTTACTAAATAATGTTTTGCAGTAAAGTGTGACCTTTTTTTACTAGAGATTGGGTACCAGACCCATCAGTTCCAAGATACACTAATGAAAGCTGCCATGCGATGGAATCTCATCAGAATTGTATGAAGAACGGTTGTCCGAATCCGAGTACTTTTAATGGAGGTGGAATCCAAGAAACTGTGAGCTACCCAAGTTCAATCCGCAGAGTTTTCTTGGTATAATGAGGAACAAATCATGGGCCTTCATTGGTGATTCGGTGTAACCATGTACAGTCATTGCTTTGCATTATCTCTCAGGTACACTCGAAAGCAATCAAATTTACAACTAACTAGCTTATGTTTACTTAATCTATATGATTGAGATTTACTGAACTTTGTTAGTATTGTTTTACATTTCTAATTAACCACAATAATGTCTATGACGATTTGGTCTAGTCGCACTAAGTTTTCACTTTGTTGGCCTCCGCCTTAAGCTCAAATCTCATTGACGACTGTTGCAATAAAGAGACTTTTAAAAAAATCATTTCACTTTTATGGTGACCACTGCATTTTAATTGGTGGTACAGTCAAACCATTTTTTTGGCAATTCCTGGGACGATGTTAAAGATGTTGGAAAATTTAATATTATTATTATATTAAATTAAATAATTGAATTGAAATTAGAAGTGATGCCTTTTGGTGGAAATATGTGTCTATCCTAACGAAGAATTGCAACTTTTGACTCTTTATAAATGAGCTCATGTTTTTCAAAGAGGTATCTCAAAATCTATAAATAGGGAAGCCCCCAATAAACATAAAGATAAGTTTTCGTCATACATACATATAGTGCATTAAATATTAAAGAGTCTCCTTGAGTTCATATGAGAGAGTTTTCAACACAATCGTGGTCTATCTTGGGAGACATGCACTGATCAACCATAAGCACCGTAGTAGGGTGTAAATTGTCTTAAGGACAAAGTGTCAAACACTTGCCTCGACCGTATTTTCTAGGTTTTTTTAACCCATTATATCATATTCATTTAATATTGGTTACTCATGTGCATGCATTACTCTGGTATATAAGTGCATGAATTATTTCTTGATTTTTCTTGTGATCTAATATAGCAATTAGACCCTAATTATTCCAACAAAAGAAGATAGGGAAATGCCTAGAAATAGGATATTTTATTTTAATCTTGGGACAGAAATATGACAAACTGGCCATGCACAGGCTACGTACACCATGCACAGAACCAAAATTACTAAAATACCAACATATAAATACTAAAAATCATTAGCCCATTGCATCACTTTTCTTATTTGGAAGAGAGGGATGTGGAGAGAGCTCTAGGCTTCGAGGTTGAGCTCATAATTCAAAGAGAATGAAGTGCAAAGAGAGGTGAGAATAGTGAGTTGGGTTTTGAGTTGACCTTATACTTCTGTTTTCGAACAAAGGGATACAAAAGAGAGGTGAGAGGAGTGAGCTGGGTTTTGTGCCATATTTTTTATTTTGGCTGGAAAGTTCCATTTTTTCTGGCTACTGAAGCTTCGGCAGGCATGGTAAGGTAGAGTGTTTAGTTCCAAGTTTCTACATCAATGATTTATGGAATACATGGATTGTTTGTAAGATGAATTAATACTTAAGAAGTTAAATTAGGGTTTGTGTTTCATGTTGGGGCCTATGGGTTGTGGAATAAACTTTACTTTTTGACGTGCAACAAAACTACGATTGAACAATTTCTGGTTCAAGTGTCCAATTGCAGAAATTTGTGAATTTTTTTTCATAATGTGCGTGTCATGTGCATGGCTACAACTTAATATGAGAAGCGGGAACGTTTATTAGTTATAATGCATGTATGTTGGGCCCAATAATTTAGCGAGTATGACCACAACTTAATTGGCCTCGGCGCATGTCCATGAAATAACGACAACGAGGATCATGTTTTTCACGTGCATGGTTAAGTGGTGGCTGATATACGTAACAAGAATTTTCAAACTGCCACTGTAACCCTTATATACGTAGCAATTATGTTTTAATTGTATCCACTATACCAATATATTGTTTTTAAAGTTTCTTATTAATGTGAAAAGCAGCTCGTTGCTCGATCTCCAGTTCTGTGCATATCATGTATGCATAACTGTACTTATGATGTGCATGTACAGTACATATGATGTGCATATGGTATGCATATAGTGTAGATGGTGGTGATGTCACAGGTGATGACGTCACTTTTCTAATTTCGAAGATAGAGCTGTGAACTCTGGGTTTTTGGATTGGCTTAAATCTATGAACGTATAATGTTCATGTCATGTGCATGTCACTGGAAATAGATGATTTTTAATGGGATTTCCAAAATCTACTTTCAGGTTAAAGATTTGTGAAGTACAAATCTCTAAGGGATTTCTGGAATCTAAGCCCCCACATATCACCCAATGTCGTTAATTGCATGATGCATGTCCACAACAAAATCGACGTCGTTGCATGCATTGATACAGATAAAAAATTTGTGATTTTCTTTGAACTTAGAGGGAGAAAGTGTCATTGGCGGAGAGAGATAGAGAG